AGAAAGACAAATAAATAGTTTAGCTAGTAAGAATTTGAAAGTAATATTAAAAAAATATAAAAGTTCGCAGTGACAATGCCAGAACAATGTTAACCTACATTTTGCCTTTAGGCTTGTTTTATAAGTTAGAGTTAACTAGCCTGAGGTAATTTAAATAAGTAGAGGAAAATAGTTGAATAGAAACTGAAGTTTTTAAGTTATAAAAAAACTTAAAATGGGTAAACAAACAATAAATATTCCTATAAAAGTAAAGCCATGAAAAGAAATATTTTAGCGCAAATAAACGTTAATTTAAGTGGGAAATAGAGGAGCGAAATTCCTAAACTAGCTTTGTTTGTGTTTGAACTTGAAAGATACACAAATTCAGAGAAAATGACTTCTAAACTTAGGAACAATTCTTAACTTACGTGTCGACTTGGTGTTCTGAAATTCTAGTTTAATAATAAGGGAATCATTATAGTGTTTTCGTTTTTAAAGCTGAGTATTTGAGAGACAAAACTATAAAACATATGGAGTATCAAAGGAAAAATAAAAGAACCCAGTTATCAAAATCTAGGAAACTGAAAGTAAATTTCAAAACATTAGCGATTATTTTATAAGTATCAATAGCAAGGTATGGTTTGCCAATTCTAGATTCATGATGTCGCGAATTGCCAGAAATCTAATTTTCCCATTCAGATATCAGGAATACATCACTATTTTATTGGTATTGATGATTTCTATGAATTGCCAAGTACCGTAAAAGTGTATAACTTAGGATACTTAATTTTCTTGAAGGTACTACTTGGATTCATTTAATTATATGAGAGCTTTTCATATAACGAATATTTCAGTTCAGTAAATAAAAGATTTCTTCATCTAGGGAAACAATTTGAATTACTTCCTCACAAGAACGTGATTCAGTAAACATTTTTGTCCACTGATAAATGCGAATTTTTATCTACATGGAGTTGATTGTATTCAGAGAAATACACTTTACGATCCAGTGATGTTAAGTATACGTTACATTTAATAGTTTAATATTTGAAACTGTGGAAACATGACGTGTAGTATCGGTTGGTATGTATAGTTCATATACTTTATTCCAGCTTCTGGACAAGCCAATTTACTTTTCCATCATGAGTCATGTTTTGACCTTGTTAATTATTCATTTATCAATCCTGACCATTTTTTTATATGAGCGTATGTGTGTGTACACTTTTTATCTTATTCATCACATGTCTGTAACTTATGCTTATCGGACTGTAAATATTGATCAACACTTGGTAAAAGTGAGTTGGCTTACCCGCCATCTCCAATGCGTGTCATTTATGCTTCGCTCGCTGATATTTGCTCATATGATTATAGCATTCTGATCTGTGTCATTTGTTAATAAAACTGTGGTTGCCGCTTCTTTTTGCCTCCTGATTTTATGCACCGTTAAGATTTGTATTACAACGGTTATCGAGATGAACGATTAACAAAGCACGGCATTACAGATGTAAGCCATCATCCTTTTGTAAAAAAACTACATGCTTAGAATTTATTTCTCGTTGAGATATTACTATGTGTAAATTCATCCGTCTATATGGATGCTTTCATTCAAATAAAATGTGGCTTGCAATTGTTGAGGATCTATTAGCTTAATCAAATTTCTGAAATGTATTGGTCTGAAATATCATAGTAATATTCAAATACTATTATACTATTAATTCACAATTGAGTGAGCAAGTAAAAAGTGAAGATTAAGAAGTTATGTGTGACAGAAGAGGAACGAAGTAGCGATCGTCTGAGATGACTTGCCATTTGAAGGTCAAATGCTTCTGAAATGGTCAAGGCAAACCACAAGTTCGTTGTCCGTTCTTCATCCATTAACATAGATAGAAACACAATTTTCTGTCAAAATGACTATATAATAACATCCAGTAGTATCATGAAGGTTAACTCGGGTATAAGTGCTCATGTAACAACTTAAGTTGGGTGGTTAATAGTTGATAATGCCAAAATATTATCGCTTAATTATTTACTTACTTCCTTTTTTTGTTTGGGCATTATATTTTCTATCATCCCATATTAAAAGTTAAAACTTTTGCGTGCTGAAAATAAGAAACTAGCACTTCAACCTCTCTGTTCCACTATCTGAATAAAGGCCTGCCAAAGCAACTAGTCTAGTTGTTTCTACATATAAAACGAATGGTATCTACAGGAAATAAAGACCTAGTCGACAGAAAAAGCGGACGTCATGGAGAGTTACAACGAACGCTCATAAAACACTTGATAGTGATGCATCTAGTTACTGATATTTGTCAGTATTGTGAAGAGTTTGAGGATACGACTGGTATTCTAGTTTGACAATTAGCGACCAGTAGCACCTTCTATATTCGAAACTTCTCCCACTCAATAGAAATCAGAAGTCAGACGAGAAGAGGCAGGAAAGATATATTTGATTCGTTACCAATATATCGAGGACCTTTTCTATGAGCTGGCTAATGAAACGTAGGAGCTGTGTCCCACGCCGTGTTGAAACATGATCTGGTGCGGATGCGTGGCCGAAAGCCTTCAGTTAAACAAGTCCACTTAAACAACATGGTCAGCATCCAATGTCGAACACTTAATGAGCTATTGATTTTGGGGAATTAGTTACAGCTACAGATCACTCCCCCCTAGTGAGGTAGTGATGCCCCTAAGACGTGACCAGCCAGAAGTTTAAACCCAACGAGTTTGTCATTGATAAACACTCTTCTGATAGCTTGCTTCGTTTAGCAGCGTCTGGTCGTCTTTCCTTAAACTAAGGGGCCAATAGGTACAACATAGCAATAAAGAAATAAAGTACAGTGAAAATTTCTGTTCCTTGTGAAACTTCGTCGTTCTTTTCTATCTGTCCTGGAAAAGAGAAAAAACTTAATCTCGAATTGCCTTTTCATTATTTATTATAAAAAATAATTTTTTAATATGCTCATTTTTTTATTTATTTCAAAAACAAAAAACAAAACATTCAACTTTTGAGCGCATGTCGAAAATACACTCGTACTTGCGTAAAGACACAAGAAGAGCGGGAAAAAAACAAATAAACTAATACACTTGCAACAGAGTAAGAGCGATCGGAAAAATTGGTTTTTTTGGGTTTTGTTTCTATATAAAAAAATATAAATACGCTCAAAAATATAAAAATGTATTGTTTTTTGTTTTTGAAATAAATAAAAAAATGAGCATATTACAAAAATTATTTTAAATAATAAATAATGAAAAGGGAATTTGAAATTAAGTTTGTGTCCTGTGTGCAATAATCGTCTAGATGTTCTGGAAATTTTACTCGTCTTCCAGAACACGTTATTTTAAGTTTATTTTCCGATGTTGACGAAGTATCAAAGTGTGTGTCGGCTGTCGTGTAGGGTAATACGAGTGTGGGAGCCGTGTCGTACGACTGTACCGAAGGAAATTCGACGTAGCTAGGGTTTCCTTCTATGTACGCTGCTTTGAGGCGATGGATACGATGCTATCGTTCGTGCCGTTCTTATCGACTACATAGTACTTGGGTTCACGTTGAATAAATTTGAAGGGTCCTTCGTGTGCTGATTCGAGAGGTCGTAGATGTGAGTCTCGACGAACGAAGACGTATGTACTATGTCGTAATTCAGGTCGAACGAAAACATCAGTTGATTGAGGTCGAGTGTGAGCAGGATTAACTGAACGCATAGCGTTTGTAAGCCTACTCGTGTAAGAGTTTAGATCCATGTTCACTGAAAAAGCCGAAGGATCTACGAATTCTCCTGGGAGTCGGAGTGTCGTTCCGTAAACGAGTTGAGATGCAGTGTATCCAATGTCAGCTTTCACTGCATTGCAGATACCTAGCAAGACGAGTGGAAGAGCGTCTGTTCACTGTGAAACGTTTGTAGCTGATAGTGAAGGTTTAAGTTATCGATGAAAACGTTCTACTAACCCGTTTGCTTGTGGGTGGTTGGCGGTCATTCAGAAGCGAGTGATTCCTAATTGTGAGGTTAGACAACGGGAAAGTCCGGATTCGAACTGGCGTCCGCGATTCGTAGTGATGGTTGAAGGGCAGCCGAAATTAGCTACCCATAGTTCGATGAAAGCGCGAGCTACATTTTCAGCAGTAACGTTCTTAATCGGTATTGTTTCTGGCCATCGAGTGAAACGGTTTACGCATGTTAAGTGATATGAGTATCCGTTTGAATCGGGTAACGGTCCTACCAAATCTAGATGGACGTGGTCGAAACGAGCGTCAGGGGTTTTGAAAGAGCCTAAGGGACATTTGTTGTGTCTTATGACCTTAGATTTCTGAGAGCTTACACAAGAGCGTGCCCACTTCCTCACGTCTTTATTCATGCCAGGCCAGCAAGACCGTTCGGCTGTAAGCTTGATTGTTGCACGGACACCTGAATTAGAAAGATTGTGTAACGTATTAAAGACGCTGCGTCTTATATGAGATGCCCGTCTTCTTGGTTAAGATAGGAATATTGTAACATCATAGATTATGTCGAAGTCAAACTATGTGATTTGTGCCTAACATAGCATAACCCACTATGATAATCAGACCAACCGGCTTCTATTTTGAATGTACAGATCATACAAGTATCTTTCTAAACAACGGCTTATAGTGGCAAAGATAGATATGTGAAGTAGGATGTGGAACCACTACTGTTTAGGCATATAAGTTAGCGTTGTTCCATCCGTGATGTTGGAGAGGCCCCATTGACTGTTCATCTTTCATTTGACAACCATACAAAAAAAAGTTGGCTCAGCCAGAAGAATTGTTCGTCGAGAGTTCAGTGGTGGTTCACTGAACATATGACACAAACAAATAAATATCGAACTGATTGTAAACTGTGTAATGAAGTAGTTAAACTGCCGCATATCAAACATGGACAAATACTTGAAGAGGTGCTTAAGCAGAAAAAAGCAAGCGCGAAGCGAAAATCGAGCTATTTCATCACATTGAATCTCTGAACGTCGTTCAGTTTTATGGGCGGAAGCTTTGCTTTAAGCGCTACCGTCTTTACATGGATCAAGTATCGTCTAAAGTGATACACGATGTTAGTGGTCAGAAGAAACTTGTTAGTTTCAATCCAATCCAGGGTCGAATCACAACTCAAACAGTCCGGGATGAAGAAGAATATATGGAGGTATTACGAGATCTGTCTGAGTTTATTCATTTTGTTGATATGATGAGTTTATTTTGTTAACTCACTTTAGACATATCAATAGAGATTATTTCTAATCATGCGTTACAAGTTTTTGGATCATCATTTGTACAATACATGTTTGGGTTGATTGTTAGAAACCTCAAGTAATATGTGGCCTCAGAATTTTTGTTCTTTATTTCTCTTACTTTGCTTTAGCGCCAGATCCCTAGTGCTTGGTCTTGAATATTACCATTGTTACTCGATTATACCTCTTTATTGCCATTGATAAAAGATCCTACGATATATATGCGCCACACAAAAAATTGTCACTTCATTTCACTTATGTGAGGGCCATGATACTGCCTGGGTCCGCAGACCGAAGCAGGTGGTTTTCTCAGGGGGCCATACCCCCAACCTTTGACCTAAAAGTCTAATCCATAAGGTAGCGAAGCATTGTGAGGAAATGCAATCACATGGTAACCGGTGACCAACAATAGGTTCATGCGCCATTTGTTCCCTCAGGGTACCGGAGCCCATGTGAACCACTGGTTTAAAATCAAGGTTTCTCAACTCCACTAGGTAGACCCTCCATGTCCATCAAACTGGTTAAAGCACTGGACATTCGGTTTTCGTCCTCTCAATTCTATGAACAACAGCCCAGCTACGAGAAGGCAATGAGTAGGACTTTCCTGTATACGTAAGACTGTATACGTAAGGTAGTGGGTACTGTGCAAATCATGTGACAAAGTGCATAATGTTATGCTACTTAAGAAGGAGTGTTCAATTGCATTTAAGTTCTTATGAAATTAGCATGTTCATTAGATTAACCAAATATAATTAAGGTTTCTTTTCTTGGTTAATACATATTGTTTCAGTCAATTTGTGCTTATCAGCGCGTTCTTTTTATATTTTAGCATCTGGGAAAAATAATACAACGGGATTTTTTCCCTAGCCTTACAACAAACGGAGAAAAGGGAGTCGATGGTGAATCCAGTGAGCTTAAGGATCGAAGTGTACTTTGTACCGATTCTCATAATCCTGAAAAGAGTAGACATTGAATTGGGAAGTAACTTGGAGACTTTAGGTGATCCAACTGCTATGTCTTTGGATAAATACATGGCTAATAATACGACGGAAGACGATGCATCCTTCGCTGAGCTAGTTGAAGAAAACGAAAGAAAGCAGCGAATTAAGCTGGCCCCTTTTTTCCCTTCTCTTCAGTGTTCTGCACCTGTACGTTCAACCTTGAGTTCTCGTTATCCTTTGACTAGGCACCTTTAGACAATCCGAAAACCTTGGCTCTCCCTGGTGTTTCAAATGCTGTTGTTGGACCTAGGGTCACAATTACTGGGAACAATGCTGTTCATTTTAATCCTGATGGTACGTCTCAAACCAGGGAGGAATTGCTGGAATTTTTGTCAAAGGAACGTAAAATCGTGTCGACTAATACTCGATTCAAGAGACCTTTCCCAGTGAATCTGGAAAAAAAACGTACAATGAAACATTTACTTGCAGCAAAGCTGGTAAGTTGGGAATTAGCAGTTCATTTGTACTATGCTAGCTGTTATTTGTGGTTTGCTACTTTAATCTATCTTGATTTGATCCCATTCTTATTGTAAGACATAAGATTAAAGTGAGCATTGAAAGGTCAGTTAGTCTAAAGATGCATTTTGCGGTTTTCTGAGTCTTAATATATTTTCTATGAGGACTATATAATACTTTTGTACATTGTGCTTATAATCCGTGACTTTGATTTTATTACCATGAACTGAACGATTTCCATCCTTTTCTCTTCTAGCTTCACCAACTAGGATAAAAACACCAGTTTTGCAGATGAAGTTTCTTAACATTGACCCAGTAGAAAAGTAATTAAGGTTTATCGATTATATATCATTAAGTAGTGGTTAGAATAATTAAACTGATTACTTGTCATTATTTGACGAAAACCATGTTAAAAATGTGTCAAAATTCCATTACAGGTTTTCACACTTGGCAATGCTCTGTAACTAAATTTCAATCTAAACTAATCGGTGTTGATTTGAGTAGTAATACTGCTATCCGAAATATAAAAGCTAATATGCTTAATAATTGTTCATCTCATTGATTGATTAGTATCAGTTTTCAAAGATTACTTTAATGCAGAAGTAAGATGTATTGTCACCCTAACCACAATTAAACTGAGCAGTAATGAGAAATTACTGCATCAAAAAACGTCCTTCGTTGAATACTCATTGCTCTTCATCAATGACGTTATTAGTTTTTTCAGTCTTTTAAATTAGCCAGTCTTGTGATTTTCGCTTACCAATCTTGTATCCAAGTGACCAGTGCTATTGCTATCTTAAATTAAAAGGTTAGTCACCTTCTATAAGCGGCGAACTATGTATGCTAAAACGGGGGCTTATTTGTCACTATGTGAATGGAATGCTTTAAAAGCTTATTCAGTCTGAACATTGTCACTGTCTATACGTAACGTATTCCACTCTGAATGATAGTAGATTTTACTTCGCATTTTTAGTCTATAGGTTAACATGCTATCTGAACTTTACTGATTTATAACCAATGAAGAAAACATCAATATTTGTCTCTATTAATGTGAAAAAGGATCAACCAATTATTGAGTTCTGGTTCGGAAACTAGTTTAGTTATTTGAAATATTCATGTGGAGTTTTTAATTACTTGGTTTTATTTTAAACAGGGTCGTATCGGCCTTAATGGTTTAGAAATGAACTCACCATACGGAACTCCTCAGGCTTCTGGGTATAAATTTCTTGATTCTTCCCCTTCACCAATGGCAATGTTTCCTCACACACCTTTGATGACTTGGGGTGAATTGGATTCGACACCTTTCCGACTAGATGACAGCGAAACGACACCATCAGTTGTATCTGGTGGTCCAGCCTTTCGTATCCCATCTCCTTCTCAACGTGAACAGCTTGCCCATCAATTAGCAGATAAAGCAAGTCGTCAACGTGTGCGTGATCGTTTGGAAGCAGTTAAAAGAATGCAGTCAGCAGCGTCAAGGTAAGTATTTACAAATAAAAATTACTAGTGTTTTACTACCGTACATTTTAACACTTAGTTGTCCCACAAATAAATTTAACTCAGACATATTCAAATAAGAATAGATGTGAAAAGGTGGATGTGATTTCCATTCTTGGTATATGTACGCACTACTGATACTGTGAGATATGTACATATGGTGGAAATGCGTACCTAAAAACAATGTTATCTCTAGTTATTTATTTATTTATTTAAACACATAAATATTGGTACAAAGAAGTACCAGATAAATATGCGCCTCACAAATCTCATCCGATTTGTGTGAGGGCTGTGATACTGTCCAGGTGCCCAGACTGAAGCAAGTGGTTTTCTTAGGGGGCCACACCCCGAGCCTTTGACCTAAAGGTCTAGTCCACAAGGCAGTGGAGCATCGTGAGGAGATGCAGTCTCATGGTAGCCGGTGACCAACAACAGGTTCATACGCCATTTTTTCCTTCAGGATACTGGAGCCCATGTGCACCAATGGTTTGGAATCAGTGTTTTCCAGCTCCCCTAGATGAACTTTACGTGTCCACCAACCCGGTTAAAGCGCCAGACATTCGCTTTTCGTCCTCTCATTCTCCTAAACGACAGTAATGCCACGAGAAGGCAGTGAGTAGGACTTCCCTGTCAGAGGCTATATATTCGCGTGGCCATATGAGAGCATTTTGAGAGGGAGAGCAGACTCTCCCCACTCTCGGCCGTACCAGGGCTTTTGGGGGTACAGACTTTTGGTCGCTGTGGTCTAGTGGTTAGGACATTGCGTTGTTGTCTCTAGTAGTTTTTATGATGCGTTTCTGGTTTCTAATGAACTTATTCCTCCTTTAAGTTTTACTGCAACATAATCTAATTGTAGGATGAATGTACGATATGATGTGACCTATTCAACAGCAAATGCACTGTGCAGAAGTCTCCTTTGTGTTACCTTTATCTCGGCGAGGCCTCATGATGTGGGCATTGCCCCCAAATGCCCTGGTACGGCCGAGAGTGGGGAGAGTCCGCTCTCCCTCTCGAAATGCTCTCACATGGCCACGCGAATATATAGCCTCTGACAGGGAAGTCCTACTCACTGCCTTCTCGTGGCATTACTGTCGTTTACGAGAATGAGAGGACGAAAAGCGAATGTCTGGCGCTTTAACCGGGTTGGTGGACACGTAAAGTTCATCTAGGGGAGCTGGAAAACACTGATTCCAAACCATTGGTGCACATGGGCTCCAGTATCCTGAAGGAAAAAATGGCGTATGAACCTGTTATTGGTCACCGGCTACCATGAGACTGCATCTCCTCACGATGCTCCACTGCCTTGTGGACTAGACCTTTAGGTCAAAGGCTCGGGGTGTGGCCCCCTAAGAAAACCACTTGCTTCAGTCTGGGCACCTGGACAGTATCACAGCCCTCACACAAATCGGATGAGATTTGTGAGGCGCATATTTATCTGGTACTTCTTTGTACCAATATTTATGTGTTTAAATAAATAAATAAATAATATCACTCAGTTAAGACTATTATTTCTGAAGGAGATATGTAGATAACAGTCATTTGGTCGTATGGTCCTCCAAGGATTCATAGACGTACCTGCTGGACATAACTTTCTCGTCGACTGAATTTTCGGGCATTGATTTCCTACCAGGAGGTCCACTTATCGACTTAGAATACGCAGATGATATTGTCCTGTTTGGTGAAGACGCTGATAAAATGCAGTCTTTTGGTAGCACTGAGTAGCAATGTTAGGATGTTTAGGATGCGTTTCTGACCTTCTAAATGCAAGTTTTTGCTTTAAAATGCCTGCGCCAATACCTTAACTAAGGATAGGGAGTAAAGTAGCCGAACGTGTCGACCACTTCACTTATCTTGGAAGTCTGATCAGCCCTAATTGATTGGTGTGTGACGAAAACTCTGCATGGATTCAGAAAGCCCGTCTGGCTTTTGCCAACTTACATCACCTATGGCGAAGACGAAATATCCGTCTATTAATTAAGGGGCAGGTATACTGCGCAACAGTTCGTTCTGTTTTACTTTACGACCACGAAATGTAGCCATTAAAAAGATACTCGTAAGTTACTAGTGTTTGACCACAGATGTCTTAGAAATATTGCTCGCATCTGCTGGGATCACCGGGTAAGTAATAGTGGGATTATACGTAGGGTATTAGAGAATGGTGGCAAGTCAGTTGATAAGGTTGTAAATCTCCACCGAGTGAGATGGTTGGGCCACGTATTACGTATGCCTGAACACCAACTACCACGACGCGCAATGCTGACTGATGTTGGGGATGGTTGGTAGAAGGTTAAGGATGGCAATACCAAAACGTGGCATCAGTCCTTGAAGTCACTAAATTTTAGTCTGAGCCATGTTGGTAGATGCAGACTACTTGGTTGGGGTCCGGGTGACTATCGTAACCAATTGTAGGAGACTCTGTGTGACATGGATGAGAATCGATCACAATGGCGTAGGTGTATACACTCTTTATGTTCTCTTAAACCATGAGATTAAAATTGCTTCATATCTTTCTTCCTGTACTATATCATTATATACAATCTATCTTTTATATAATACTACCATTGAGTTAGCTACTATGAATTTGATGTTCATCTTTTTGTACTAATAAGGTGTAGGGACTTGGACCGATGCATATATGTACCTAGTCCTATGTTGTAGCTGACTGACGTTGACTAGTACATGGTTCCTGAAGTTCGTTTATTTCGATCCTATATTCATGTATATATTAAAAAGAACAAGCAAAAATGTGCTATTGTGTTTCAACTGTTCCTGAGTTAATAGTAAATGTGGATGGGTCGTATCGCTCTTTACTGATTCGTATGTAATTTCCACGAATTTTTTCCTTTTGTTCTAGAGGATCTGAGGTTATAGCGAGCACACTATGATTCAAACATGACTTCATTCATAAATGCCTGTAAAAGTAAGGCAGCTAGAATGCTATTCAATCATGCTCCCAAAGTTAAGTTTGTGGAGAGTGTGTAGTGTTGATATTTATTTAGACAGGATAATAGAGACTGATCAACTGCAGTCCATAAAATCAGCAGGAAGATTCATTACACCGATACGGATCAAATGAAAACTCATACTCGTAACACAATGAATGGCTATCTGGACTGAGTAGCTAAGTAAGTAGCGCGTTGGGGGTTTGAAGTGAAAGACACTAGGCTTGATTAATCAAGTCTGACTTATCAATGGTCTCCTAATATAAAACAATTTATGTAGACTGCAATCAAACGATAATATATTAAACTAATAAATATAAATAAGGTAACACTAATTTAGCCATCGTACAAATAATGACTTATGAATTATTAACATATTTAACTGAGAAAATAGAACCGAACTAAAATTCGTGCATCGAATGCAAAAGATCAGTCTTATAAATGTGCCGAAATACTCCAACTATGTAGAGTGACACATCAGAGTAGCACAAATAATTTGTTATCACGACATAGTAATGTAGAACGATTGTATCTCTTCATAGATTTACTTATTTATTTAAACGCATAAACATCGGTACAATAAGGCACCAAATACATATGCACCACACTTCATCATTCTATTTGTGTGGGGGCTTGGTTACTGTTATTTATTTATTTATTTAAACACATATATATTGGTACAAAAGGGCACCAGGTACATATGCGCCACACAAAATAATGAAAGTAGGAAGAGAAGGGATGAAAAGATAAGGCGGACTGAAATGTACAACCAGAAGACTCTTTCAGTTAAGAAAGTTAGAACCACTCTTTATGTAGAAAGTAAAAGAAGGTTACAGCAGGATCGCCACTGGCTTCTATTCTGAGCCATATCTGATAACGTCTCTAGCCACTGTGTTGCACCATCTCTCGGACCCCAGCCAGGAAGTCGTGAAGGACCAACAGAAGCTAGCCCTTTGCAGCTTTCTTTCATGCCACGACACCATGTCATACACTGACCTCCTCTCCGCTTTTTCCAACCAGTCCCAGAGTCGGCAAATAATGCACGACGTGGAAGTCTCTGGGACGACATTCGTAAAACATGTCCAAGCCACCGAAGTCGGTGTTTCAAGATGGTGACACCAATTGAATTATCGTCTCTGCACCCGAACACACGATGCCGAACCTTTGCATTACTAACATGGTGTTGCCACTGTATGTCAGCAATCCTTCGGAGACAACGATGATCGAACACAGAGAGACGTCTAACATCCTCAACTCGGAGAGGCCAGGTTTCACAAGTATAGAGGAAAACTGCTCTCACCGACGCGTTGTAGATCCGACCTTTTACAGCCAGACTAACATCACGAAGGCGCCAGAGATGGCCCAGATTATCATAAGCCGCTCTGGCTTTCATTATACGTGCATCAATCTCATCACTCACGCCACCACCAGCATTTATATAGCTACCTAGATACACGAACTTCTCAACTACTTCGATCTCCTCACCATCCAGGGTGAGTACAGGATTAGAATCCTGCCAGTGTTGTAGGAGTACTTTGCACTTGGAGGGTGCAAAGCACATGCCGTACCTGCGGACACTGATTGCCAACTGATTAAGTGCTGATTGCATGCCTTGGGCATTATCGCACAGTAAGACAATATCATCCTCATACTCAAGGTCGAGAAGTCGTTCTCGAGGCAACATATCCACACCGCCATTACTTACATCCACCATAGCTGTTTCCAGGATGTCGTCGATGGCAAAGTTGAAGAGGAATGGTGAGATCGGGAAACCCTACCTAACCCCACTGCTCGAATGGAACAAGGGAGAAAGGTGGTTGTATGCCCTCACTCTGCCTGAGGTGTCCGTATACAGGGCCTTTAAGATGTTAATGAACTTCTCAGACACACCCTTCTTCAATAGACAATCCCAGAGAACAGTCCTGTCCAACGGATCAAAGGCAGTCCTGATATCAAGAAACACTACGATTGTTGGCCTGCGATAAGTATAACGGTGTTCTAACATTTGGCGGAGGGTGAAGATGTGATCAATGCATCCTC